CGATTATCCGAACCGGTCTGAGATACCCAAAAAGCGACAACAGGGCTGTAATCCCGATAAAATCACCATGATTGAAGAAATGCGCTATATGCAGTATGCAAATGCGAATGCGAAAATGCGTCGAAGCATAAACCGAAAGTGGCACCGGTTGGTCAAATTTTAGGGTGCAACAGGGTGGTCGTAGCAGTCACTTGGATTTTGTATTGGGATTTTTTGACTTTTGGCTTTTTTTTCCTTGTTTTGCTCGTTTTTTGATCATTTTCCACCTAAAATACTCATTATGCCCTTAAAACAATAAAAACACACAACCATAACATAAAATGTGATACACAAAAATAAAATAGACAAAATGCTAAGTAAAAATGATTAGAAATGACGGTACGAAAACCACTTATTAAACTCCCCTAAACTTAGACCGTTGCTTGTCCTCAAGCAACAAAGCTTGATTATGCAAAGTTTCAAATCAAGCAGTTCACTACATGAAAAAGCATACGAAAATGAAGTCATTGGTACTCATACATGAGTTTTTGTTTCGATCGGCTAAGCCTAGTTCTCTTGGTAATCACTTGAAAACAAAGGTATTCACAAGAATACTAACCGCGGTAAAGCTACGAACCTAAGTCTCCCTTTCAAACACTTCTCCAACTATGACTTTTTCTTAAGCATCTCTTTTGATTTTTCCTCTCCTTTCATTCGGATAATCAAATTAAGGCACTTAAAATTATTTTTGTCGTCACATGCACAAGATTGGTCAGGAATTTTTATTCAAACACAATTTTTATTTTATTATTTATTTCGATAAAGTTACACATTTTTGTGCGCTTATTTGTCCACTTTGCGACGATGTTTGGGGTTCAAACACCATTAGGATAAATAACCGGGTGAGAGTTACCTAACTTAGAAGTTATAGTTGCCTTTTACCGCCTTTTCATCAATTTGGTACTAACATTATTTGTTTCCCAACCAATCATACATGCATGCAAGTCTAATTTATGCCAGATTGTTATTATAAACTAATCGATGAATACTTCTCAGAAGTCGAATACTATGGCATAAATATACATGTTGGACTCGTGTCCTACTTCGAGAAACCTAGGGTGTTCCGATAATACCTAACCTATCAAACTTTCCCAATGTCCCTAGTCCTAACCTTTCATCCCCCAACTCTATATACTTTCCCGTTTTCCCCATAACCAAAGATTTTCCATTTTTTTGCATGGTCCTAGTTTGGGAAAAGCTATAAAACAGTGGTATTTGAAACGAAGAATAACTAAAGAACAAGAAAAAAAACATGAACATAAAAACGCAAGAAAATAAAACAAAAGTAAATAAGTACCCCCGAACTTGAACCAAACATTGTACTCAATGTTTTAGCGCAAGCAATAAGGAGTAAACACACAAGAACCTCACTTGGGAGATGGAAATTGCAACATGAGTTGTTGTATCATCGCTTGGACATCATCCAAGACCGCTAATTGCCTAGTTTTCTCAACCTTCATCCCATGAATTTCTGATTGAACCCACTCCCACCTATCTTGATTTGCAGTTGAAACCCCGACTTCATTTTGGGTAGGAAGTGTGAGTGGAGGAACAATGTCCTCTTCCAGTTTGGTACTTGCAACATGGTTAATAATGTCGGGCTCGCCCTCTTCCTCAGATGAGTTACCCGGAGAGGGAACACTTGTTTGGTAGAGCGAATAATTGGAACTATCAATTCTTACCTTTCTAGGATTAGGAAAGTTAAGAATGGTCGTGGTACATATCATCATTGCATAGGTGTTACCGTCCACGAAAATCATACCTTGGTGCACAAAGGCATCCATATCAACCTTACTCCTCCCCTCAATAATATGGTCCTCGGACAAGTTTAACTCAAAACCAAGGTGCTCGACAATTTAGGTAATCATACCCCCACCGAAATGCCTATGGTGGCTGCACGAGAAACCTTTCCCAAATAATTTTCCGCAAAGGCGACGACGTTAAGAATACCGTTATTGGTCATGCAAAACTAGAAGAAAATATCCCTTTAGGAATCCACATCGGTGTTATCAGCTCATTTGAACAAGTTGAAAGCAAACGCCTTTTGCGTGTACCGCAAGCATGAGTTTTGGATGGTGGAGGCTTTCGCCTCAACTACGATATAAAAGCGGTTACCGAAAATAGCATGCAAAAAACTCAACATCAAAAAAATTTGGGACATCTCCCGGCCCAAAGATGGACAATTGGAGAATGTGACCCAACTCTTCCACACTCAATTGTTGGTTTTGGTTAAAGAGATCGAACATGAGAGTACCAAAGTATTATTCGTTCCGTCAATCCATGCAGATAAAGTATGTCAAGAAGTGTCACGGAGCTGGTTAGTACTGGTTGGCTATGGAAACTGACTGCTTCAAGTATGTCAGAAAGTGTCATAAATGTCAAATCTATACGGATAAAGTCCACGTGCCACCTACTCCCCTGAACTTTCTGACTGCTCCCTGACCATTCTCTATGCGGGGCATATAAGTGATTGGAATGATCAAACCAAAAGTTTCAAATGGACATTGGTTCATACTAGTTTCCATCGATTACTTCACAAAGTAGGTAGAAGCTGCTTTTTATGCTAATGTGACAAAATAAGCGATCAACCAGTTTATCAAGAAAGAGATAATTTGCCATTACGACATTCTCAATAAGATTATCACTAATAACGAGTTGAACCTGAATAACAAGATGATGAAAGAGTTATGCGAGAGTTTCAAGATCGAACACCATAACTCATCACCTTACAGGCGGAAGATGAATGGTGTTGTAGAAGTAGCAAACAAGAACACCAAGAAGATCATCTAGAAGATGATAAAGACCTACAAGGGCTGGCACAAAATGCTTCCCTTTACACTATATGGCTATAGAACTCCAGTTCATACTTCAACATGGGCAACCCCTTTTTCTTTGGTATATGGCATGGAAGCAGTACTTCTTTTAGAAGTTGAGATCCCCTCGTTGAAAGTCTTTATGAAGACTAAATTGGAAGAAACAGAATGGGTACATACAAGATTTGACAAACTAAACCTCATAGAAGAGAAACGTATGACCGCATTATGCCACAGACAATTATATCAGTAAAGGGTCAAGAAAGTATTCGACAATAAATTTGAGATGATTGATCTAGGTCAGATCTCATATTTCCTTAGAATAAAGTTTTACAATAATAGTAGAAGATTGCTGATGCATCAAAAAAGTTATGCAAGTGAAATACTAAAGAGATTTGAGATGGAGAACTGCAACTTTGCAACAACGCCAGCTGAGCCAAGATTATAGTTGACAAAGGAAAATGAGGGAAAAATTAATCCAACACAATACAAAATACTCATTTGATCACTGAGATATGTTTACCACACAAGACCTGGCCTTGCATATAATTTATTGTGGTAAGTAGATTCATACAAAAGTTAAAGTTATCACATCTAGCAACCACTAAGAGGATACTAAGGTATATTATATGCATATTGTATTATGATATCTTGTTTTGAGTAGCAGACAAAGGAAATGTGTGTAAGCTTGTTGGATACATTGATTCAAGTTGGTGTGGTGATGCTGATGATCGAAAATCAACATCAGGATATGTGTTTTTGTTAGATGATGCATTAGTAGCTTAGATTTCAAAGAAGGAGTATGTGGTAGCTTTATCCTCGTGTGAAATAGAGTACATTGTAACATCACTGTATACTTGTCAAGCAATATGATAGGTAAATCTAATAGATAAAACTGAAGGCTAACATCATGGAGCTAAGACTATCAAGATTGACAATATTTCTACCATAAATTTAACTGAAATCATGTTGCACATATCATGAGCAAACATATAAACAACAGACTTCACTAACAACTCACTAACAACGAAAAATTATGCCTAAAGCATTGTAGTAGTGAAGTAAAGATAAAATTGAGACATCATGACAAAAACAATTCAAATATTTAAAAAACTTAAAAATGTAATGGTCGTAAAGAATTTGGCCAAAATAAATTAGATAGTATGTTAAGAGTAATTCACATTGAGCCACTTGTAATTATTTATAATGAAAGTCACAATTATATAAACTCTTGGAATGAGATTATTGTAAAACAAGTAAACGTGTGATTCCTGTTTCTTCTCATCTCTTCTACTCATTCTCATAAAATTGTGAGTATGTGCAAAAGCTTTGAGCAAACTAGTGTGTCTCCATGTGGTTGTGTGCTTAAGTTTTGCACAAACAATAATCATTTGTTAGGAGAGATCTAATGTTGAGCTTCCTTAGAGGTCACCCTCTAATTACCATCTATTTCCCTTACTCACACAAAAAACAAACTAAAAGCTGATAATCAAAAACAGTTGGCAAAGTTAGTTAGGTCTTTAAGTGGGGCTATAAAGCTAGGAATCAACAACCGCTAGTCAATATTCATCATTTGTGTAGGGCATAATCACACCAAAATAAAAGTAGTAGGGTATAGAAGCATAAAATATCGCCAGAAAGAGTTAAAAACCCTAGACACGTAGATGATGTAGCCAAGAAAAATAAAAAAGAAGATCATCGAAGTTCATGGAAGCCACTTCTAGTAAGTACTGATAACGTGATTATTATAATAATTAATTTATTAACTACTTGGTTTATGGATAATCTCTCTAATCTGCAAGTGATTCTCATATTCATTGAATTGTAATGAAGAATTAATAGTAATAAAACAAATTATACATTGCATAAATATGATGATCAAGTACTTCTGCTTCACAAACGAAATACATTCCATAATAATTTTTTGATACATTTTTTTGTTGTTTTTGCAATCTAAAAAAAAGATAATAAACCCAACCAAACTTTTCTTTCATGTGTATTTAAAAAAGTACCCACAAAGACAAATTAAGAACCAAATACATATACGATCAATTCAAGAAAGAAATCACCACCCAAGGCCGGAATAAAAATGATTAATTAAACAAAACACCACCAAAGCCACAATCCAACACAACCACTCGATCATATTCAATGAGAAGTAGTCTCATCTTTATGATGATCTTTGTCATCAACATCAGTAGCAGTCTTAGCATGATAACCAGGAAGCTTCTCTTTGATCTTTTCCAAAATACCTTTCTTCTCTCCCTCATGACCAGTTGTAGTTGTTGCTGTTGTCTCAGTTGGAACAGGAGCAACAACAACGGGTGGAGGAGTTGTTACATCCTCAGTTTTCTTGTGTCCTCCGGGAAGCTTCTCCTTAATTTTGTCAAGGAAGCCCTTCTTTTCCTCAGTACCTGTTGTTCCATCAACAACCTCAACTTTCTCAACTGGCACAGAAGTGTCCTCTTTCTTCTTCTTTTCCTTCTTCTTCTTTCTTTTTTCACCATCTTCTCCTTCCTCTTCACTTGACTATATATGCATGCACACATCAAAACAAAGTTTATTATTTTTCAATAATATATACTAATAATAAATATTACAACACATAATCATAAAACGAATCAAAGTGACGAGAGCTGAATTACTTACCGAGCTTGATGAGCTGTCAGATCGGTGAAGTTTCTCCAAGAGACTGGTGTGTTTCTTTTCACCTTCCTCCTCAACTTTGGTTTCTGAAGGTGCTTCATACAAAGTCACCTTGTGACCAAACTCGTGAGCAATCGCCTCATCTTGAGGAGGCTTATGTTCTTCATCCTTTTTCTTACCACCCAGAAAATCAAAAACACCTCTGTCCTTGATCTCTGTCTCAGAGTTGGTTGCGGATGTGGTCTCCGCGTACTTGTTCTGATTCTCCTCAGCCATGATGATCACAACTAACAAGATGGGTCGAAATTAATTATCTATAAAATTGATAATGTAACTGGAACTGTGAAATGAAAGGTAAAGTATAAGAGGATGATAGTGTTGTGGTTGTTTAGATGATGAAAAACTAAGAGATGAGAGAGCACTTTATACTAGTTCACTACTACACATAATGACACGCATTACCCGCGATTTAGATTACAACTAATTAAAAAATTAAGATTATTCAAAATTAAAGGACAAGTAACTGACGTGTAGATTAAGTTAAAAGATTGAACGTGGAATGGAATGCGTTTAGCCACGCTCCTATAACTACACTCGCTTCAATTATTTGTCATCCATTCACCTTTTCATTTTCTTGCCTAATTAACGTTTTATTAAAAATATTAATCCAATACTTATAATTATTTAAATTTAAAATATTGGTTGATAATATTAGTTTTATACTATTATTGTTTTAAATTAAAAATAAAATTTAATGAGTTTTCAAATTTACTATTGGAGAGAGCGAGTGAAATAACATCAAAAGTATATGCGAAGATAAAAAGAAAAGGGGAAAGTGTGAAAAAGATGAGGGAGACACGGCGTTACAAGTGAGCTGTGACAAAACCAATGAAAAAAGGACACGTGGCGAATAACGTGGGGAGGAGGTGTATTGCGGGACCCGAAAAGGTCGGTCCCGTTGTTTTGATATTTGAGATGTCGGCCTGGATGTATGTAGTGCATTTTTAGGTGTAAATTATGAAAAAGAAGAGATAAAAAATGGAGAGTCGGTGTCTTGGGGGACTCGTGGCAGAGGTGGAGATGCAGAATAAGGATGTATTTTTCAGACAGGGACGTTGTTTTTAGCTTCTTTATGTGATATTTGTCCATTCCTATAGTCTTGTAAATCTAACCATGGAAATGGACGGTTTAAAGATACCTTGCGTTCATGAAAATACATTCAACGTACAATAATTTAATGTGAATGAATGAAATGGGGTAGGGTCTCACAATCACAATGTGGTGGACTACAGTGTATTATCTACTCTTTCCATTTCTTTATACATATGTTTTTTTTAACTTTTTATATCTATTAATACAATTAATTAAGTTTAATATTTTTAATATTATTATTTAATTTTTTATAATATCATTAATATTTAATTTTTTCTATAATAAATAGCTAAGTGCCTGTTTTTTAATACTAAATTCATTATTAGTGTGTTTATTTCAATTATAAATATAAAATATATATTTATGAGTGTTTTCTTGATTTCACTCGGAAAAAATCTTTATTTGCATGTCTAATGTATGATGGTCTCTTTTTAAAACTTTCTCATAAGGTCTAATTGGGTTGGTGTGATACAATTTCCTTCAAAGTTTTATAACCTCTAATATATCAAGAGTCTATGGGCTTTCATGAGACATGGTCATCAGATATTAGAGAGTCGGTTTAAAAATTTGAAGGTCGTTAACAATAGTTTAACTATTATAAAATAATTAGAGATTTTATTCAATCATAGTTTTAATAGTGATAAAATTTAATTGTGATAAATTTTGAACTGTGTATGGTAGTTCACTTTGTACACCTTTGAAGACGATCATGTTAAATACTTATATCTCCACCATGACGTCTAGTAGAAAACTTCATATTTTGTTGTTGCAATTCATAAGAAGGTTCTACGATTGCAAGACTTGTAATGGACATATTGTAAAGTGACACCTTATCAGAGTAAATTAGTAGAGTGGGATCGTCATATCACATAAAAAAATAATCTTCTGAAATATGTCCCCGATTTTGATAGTTTTCCATCATAGAAGAAGAATATAGGTCCCCCAAAACCTAGAGCCTCGATATAAAAGGTTAATCAAGGTTTCATATCAAGTTACACACTTTATAACCCTAAAAATACTTTTCACTTTCGATAATCACTAACTTGGATGTTATAATGTTTGCACATATCCTTTCCCCCAGATGTCGAACCACAGTGCCAAGACACTGTTCGCGTACTAGAGTTCACCATAAGATTGAAGCTTACCATCTCACTTGTGAGCATCATATTTGTAAGATCATTGGCGTCGTGTGTGGGAATCGTTCAACGTTTCCACCACATCAATCAACATCATAATGGTAAACTAAGGTAAGACAACTACAACAGTTTCTATTTGACCCTGTCGATATTTGGCCAGCGAGATCATTTGAGTCAACAACGGTCTAGAAGTCAGACTCACATCATCATCTTCACTCTAGAAATTTTTTCCACTACTACCATTAACGATATCAAAATTCACATCCTCTTCTTTACACATAAAAAGCACCCCACCTCTAGCGATTTATGTGCTAAAAGAAGAGGTCACACTATCACCTAAAAACTTACAAGGAGATAATAGCACACCGCCAAAGCCAGCCTCATTGGACTCAATAGACAATGACGAAATAAATGTATTATTGAGGGATTTGTTAATGGATGCTAAAGAGAGTCATCAACTTTATAGCTTCATAATGAAAGGATTTGAAGGATTGGGACGACCAATCTAGGCCACCAAGTCTCACCAGAGCCCCAAAGGCCAATAAGAGGCATGACATGAGTTAATGTTGAAGTGGCGATATACTACGATGAATATCAGCCCAATTAATCTTTTTATAGCCAACCACGCATCCATAAAAGAGGTAAAACTCGTTCTTTTATACCCAAAGTGTTGGACATGTGACTCTACACACAATAAGGGGTGAATTGTGGGTTCCAAAAAAGTGGTAGTTTAAAGAAACCTTATTTATCTTTATTAGAGTTTTAAAATATTTTGATAAAATCGTTTTAGAAATTAGCAGCGAAAAGTAAATATGCAAAAAAATAAAGAGTTGTGGGTAAGAGAAATGACACTAGGAATTATAGAGGTTCGGTCGAGATGAAATGATCTAATCCTCTCTTCGAGATTTAATCTTTAGAGTATCTAATAATTCTTAAGAGTTTTTAGTAGTTTAAACTCTAGAATACCCTTATAGAAGGAAAAATGATGTTTTAGACTAACTTCCAACCAAACATCGAACACCAGAGAGAAGCAAATACTCTTCCTTCTAAACATCAGATTGAAGTGGTTAATCTTATTTCCAAACACCAACTTGAAGCAGTTAGTCCCCAAGATAAACCAATATTTTCTACCGGCGTATCTCGAACCAAGGTGAACTTTTGAACCAGGCTAAACTCACAGACGAAACCCAGGTTTTGAATAGGATGACCATGAACCACTGGGATTTTAAATCAGACTTATCTTAAACCAAAACAAGCTTTTGATCGGGATAAGCTTATGAGCTGAATTGAGGTTTTTACTATCATAACCATGAACTAAGTTGAGATTTTGAACCGAGTTGATCTCGAACCAAATAAAGCTTTTAACTAGGTTGAGCGTACAATCCGAAACGGTTACTTAGATCCTAAATCCTCAAACTAAATTTTTTAAATTGTTTAGCTTCGAACCAAAACAAACACTCCCTTATGGATAAATTATTCAACCAAGATAAAATATTCCTCACTAAGCAAAAAAAAACTCTCTCGAAAGCACTACGACTAATTTTAAGTGAAAGAAAGTAAAGAAATATTTTTAGAGAGAGTGAAGAGTGAGATATGAAGCTCACGTTATCTAAATGTGAAATTTTTGAAAGGATCTGCCTCTATTTATAGGCTAGAGGTTGGTATAAAAAGGGAAACTTACATGGGCCAAAATTAATGTGACAATCGATTGTCACTTTTCTTCCATCAATTGGAAGCCCTAAAAATAATTGATTATGAAGGTTAAAAAGGAAAAGAAAAGATCCAGAGACACTACCTTTCATTAAGATGTTGACACAAATGTTTAAGGATGAATTTTACATTAACCCAATCAATTAGGTATGAGTGCCAATCGATTGAACATTATGATATTTGTTAAAAATCATTCAGGCAGTTTCTGATCCAATTGACACGATTCCAAAACATTTTAAGGGATATTTTCTTAGAAAATAGAGGCTTAAAAACTTGTTTTAGTGTGTGTGTGTGTGTGTGTGTGTGTGTGTGTGTGTGTGTGTGTGTGTGTGTAATTTAGCAGTATAAATTTACGAAAAATGCCTTCTTATTTTTACAAAACACAGTTCACTCAGACGTAGTAGGGCGAGCTTTCATACTTTCTCTCTTTCACACTTTGAAGCTTCAAGATTTTTCAGGTAAACCAATAATATAGATACTTGATTGAATATTCTTTGAGATGATGCTTGATATTGATTTACGTTAAGTACCACCATCAGAGGATGTTTGTAGTGATCATCAAACCCTAACTTGTATGTTTACATCTTTGGTTAGACGACAACGACTTGTCTAGACGGGGGTGAATAGACACCCAAGCCAAAATCACCAAATAAAATTTGGGTAATAAAGTTATTTGAAAAAGAGTGCGCGCGGAAGGTTTTGGTATGGATCGACAAATTTCGTATATACTTTCTTACTATGCAAAAAGTTGATGTACAAGAGAAGTGTTCAATAGCAACCATACAAACACTACTGGTTTTGATGTTAATTCAACCCCTTCTCTTATTTTGATATTGAAAAAGACCAAGATAACAATGGATGCCAATTGTCTTGTCGATATTGTTACTCCTTTGCATTCTTTATCTACAAGCTTTCACGCATGATCAATTGCACCGATTGTTCCACAAGACTTCAATTTGATTCGTCGTTCTCCGCTACTTCCTTTGCGTTCTTTATCTCCAAAGGATCCTTTGCATACTTTATCTCCAAAGGCTTTCACAAGGTTATAATCCTCTCTTAAACGTCTTGCACGAAAACCCCCAAATCTACACACGATCTTGGAGGATAAACCCACGTTTTTTTTCCGGATGAAGACCCATACAAATCTCAACCCGATATTCTCGACTACACAAGAACCTAATCAGACGTTATTAGGCATTCTCCTAGCTGTCACCCCAACAAAATATTATTATGTGTGATTTGTAAGTGTGTAAACATAAGACGGATGTTGAAGATGAT